AAATCTGAAAATGAATGAAAAAAGGGGCGGTTCCATTTAAAAAACCAAAGTTGGTAACTACCACACGTTTATGATACACCCCGTATATTGGAAAGTAATTTTAAAATGTGGACCTTTTTAACATGAAAAACTTTCGTAGGACGTATTTTCTTGTAAAGTTCATATTTACTGAGATATCGCACTTTGACGCACTAATGAGCAACCCTGTATATGTATAAATATATGCCAAGGCTTAAAGTAGCAACAACGCTACACATAAAAACTGATGATGGTGGAAAACACCGAAACGTATTGTAATTGATAATTAGAGACAATAAATGACTGAAGCCCAGGAATTGGTTTTGATTTGGAATTGAAACACAGTCAGGAAAGTATGTACAATTGAAAATATTGTTTTATTACTACTCAATTCTTATTAGTCTTCGTATTATTCTAAAGCGATTTAAACTAGTCTGAATCACCACTAATAATAAATTTATCAATGAACCGGCACCGAAACTGAACCCATATTTTATATTAACACACTGTTAAAGGGCTGAACCTGAACCGAAATATTTCCGAATTATTTCGGTTTTTCTTCGTTCGGTAACTTGTAATGTTTGAAATAAATGAATACTTGAGTTTCAGAGGATTTGTATTGCTAGGAAATTTTCCCCACGATAACAAAAAATGAACGATAACTTTAAATTCAATTCATTCAATTTTAAGATGGTTAGAGGAATGTAAAAATATTTAATTAGTTAGGTAAATGCAATAATTTAGAATGTTTAAAACTTTCTACTTCTTGATTTTTTGTTTATTTTATATTTATGTGACTTTTTAACTGTTTCTAATGCTATTCGTAAAAAAGAAGTAAGAAAGAAGTTTTTTGTTATTAGCAGTTGTTGGTTATAACAGTTTTTATGGCTACTATGGTAAGAATGCAAGTTGTCATTAAAAACTGGTTTTTCCTTTAAAACAATTATCTTCAGGAAAATGGAAGAAATAGAAGTTATGCTGTTAAATAATGAATTATTTTTGGACTCTCGGTATAAGATAGTTTCAGACGACAAGTTGTCTTCATCTATGGACGACAATCAAGTAGAAAGAGTAATCTGTTCTTAAAAGTTCAATTTTTCCAATTCTGAATCTGGCTCTGGACCATCAAGCGATGAAATGTAAACCTTTTTAAGGCATACAGATTCCGAGCAAACATTTGGAAAAGGAATTAATCAGCACGAATGTTCTTCACATGGTTCATTTATAGCCCATAACAAAATTGAAATTATTTTAAATTTCTATAAAGTGGAACAAAATACAAGAAAAAGCTTAATCCCGAGTTATACATGCTTGTTCAAGTATTAAATAATCGTGCCGGCAACTCAATTTTTTGTTGCCGCCTACCAGGCCAAATATTAACAAAAACATTTTAGAGGCAGAATATTAATTGTTTGTGAGAACCAGTCGCGACTTTTCAATTGTAAAAAACGAACATCGTACGTTTATACACTACTCTTAAAATCTTTTTTTAAGTAGAATTATTTTAGTTTTTCGGATTTAGTCAATTATCAACGAAATAGTTGACCTGAGTGAAAACGGAATAAAAACAAAGTGTTCAAAGTCAGAAAACTCGGTACAAATAAACTTTTCAAAAATACTATGATTCAATTAATTTTCGTATCGGAGTCCTTATTTCAATGTTCCATTCCATTTAATACTGATTATATATAACTGATTTAATAGAACAAGCAAGAAAAAAGATAATATGATTCCTAGATAGAGTTGGCTCTATCTTTATTCTTATTCGTTGTATCATATAGATTTTGAAACTGATATTAACCGAAAAAAACCTGAACCGGAACTGAACCGAATTGGAAAATATTTTCATAACCGGAACCGTACTGGAACCTAAATTTTAAATCTTGCCTAGGACCGAAACCGAAACGGAACAGATGGATTCGGTCTGGGTTTTTGCTCATAACATACTAAATGAAACAGTTACTTTTAACAAATTTAGTCAATTTCTAATACAGACTCAGAACACTTCTGAACTACAGGTTTTAGATTATTCTGACGATCTGTTTCGAACGTGTTTTATGAACACACCCCTGAGATAAATTTTAAAATGCCCAATCCCAACCTGAAAATTTCGTTCGTCCGTTAGCTTTGGGTATAACCTCTAATATGTAAAGCTGTTTTTTTCGATTTGGATTTCCTGAATGAAACTTAGAATTTACTGCAGTATACAGATGATTAACTATGAACTCTGCTATGGACAAGTCCTTCGAACTACTAAGCACCATGTCTCCGAAAATTAGGGGTCGTCAAAAAACGTGCAAAGTAAAAAGTTGTAAGTAGGCTTTATTTGAAGGAGCTTAAATTTATGAATTATCCAATTCCTGCTTTACAGCTTCCAGACTAGCCCTTAAAAAGTACTTTAGACGTTCTTCGATATTTGATAAATCTATTGGAATTAGAAGCAAGGATTTGTCAATCGTAGATGTGCCTTCTAGTTCATCAGGCAGTATATTTAGTTCTCAAGATGTTGAACCACATGATAAGAACGAAATCGCTTTCATTGAATCAAGCGATTCGGAAGATAATGTTCAAGGCATCTTACCCGAAGTAAAGTTGAAACGTTTTCCAAATTGTAGCAGTGAAATTGAAAAGAATCAGATGGTTAAAAACTGGCTGGAAAATGTAGAAGATCGCCCTGGAAATCCAAGTTTTTTCAGTCAAGTCTCAACGGTATGTGGAGATTCTACTGCAAATATTAACAAAGAAGGCAATCGCATTGCTGCATCTTCAAGTTTTAATGACTGCCTTACCCATAGGTTTGACGAATTGTTTATTGACAAGGAAAAAGGTAAGTGCGAAATCAAGTATTATTTAATTTGCTACATCTTTTTACGCAAATCAAAGTTTCGCATTTATTTTATCTTATAATTTTAATCTTAAGTTGATTATGCGACGAACGAACGAAAATAAACTTATTAAGTAATGAAAAAATCCTAAAATTTTGGAAATGTGGAAACGCAGCACCATAGTTGTTCGCAAGAAAACGGAATTACAGCCAAGGGCGTATCCAGAGGGATACACCCCTTGTAGGTTTATGTCCTAATGATAATGTTTCTAATTTCATAAACAACTTAAGAAAATAAATACTTTGTATGATGGCAAACACCAACGCGAATGATACGCATATTATGAATATTATGCTGTTATTACAGTACAGTTACATGGTGCATCAGATCCTTTAGTATGAATAAATAACTCTTAATACGGACCCGATTTGGATCATTTCAATGATTTTGTCTAAAATTGAAGTCGGTTGAAAAACTTGAAAGTTATAAGAGTTTGAAGGTCGAAGAAATGATTTTTCAAGACAAATGGTATCAATGGTTTTTGGAAAAACAGCTTTTTGTATGTATTTATGCATAATTTTGTTAATATAGGGCCGATTTCGAAATGGTCAAAATTTGTTGAAAAACATACATTTTCTATAAAAACTGCATCTCGGAAAAACTTGGAAGCTATGATGATTTGAAGGCGGAAAAGGCGATTTTCCGAGAGTGTATGCTCGACACATTCACTGTCTATAAGAAAATTTGTAATTCCCAACTGTAAGACTCAAACTGGCACATCTTCCTCTCTTTACCCTGTAACTGGGTCAAACATTTTTCAGAAATTCAAAAACACTTGCGTAAAAAGTTGTTTCAGGGCCAAAATTCATTTTTATCACCGTCAGGGGAGTATAAGTATAACTTTTCAAATACCTGAAATGCTGGATGTTCCTGGAAACACGATTTTTTGGTAGAACTTTGGCGACGCACTAAGAATTTTTTAACCCCAAAAAGTGGTGTACGTTTATTTAATTTAATATGGAGATATTTAAGGTTTTGCATCTGAATATAATTGAAAAAATATGGATACTTGTTATTACACTAATTTTGTATTTTTTAAATATTAAATTCATTTAAATGTATAATGTAACCTTTTTTAAATTGTGATTAACAAACGTTTATAATTTTAATAGCTTTAAAAGGACTTGCACCACTTTCAAAATCAACAGAAAGCAAAATTCTTACGTTTAAAAAAGAGTAAAGTTAGGATCTCAATTGAAGTAAAAGTTGGGCCTAAACGTTCTAAATCTACCAGGGGCAAAGGAATGCCAAACTTACCGAAAGCTGCAACGTGTCACCTGGAAAGACAGTAGAAAATTTGTTTAGTACAGCAGGAAATGTGTCCCAAACCATTAAGAATTAGAAATGTAAAGAATGCATTAAACTTCAGTTGCTTTTGGTAAAATTAAACTCAGTTCTAAGTAAAGAATTTATAGATCATAAAAATCCTTACCAACTTTCTGCAAGCCGGTGTCCCATCCTCCATTTTCTTTCCATTAACTTAAAAAACTCCTCACGGCACTTAAACACAATGAAAGTCAACTCCGAATTGAAAATTTTAATCCTGCAGTATGCAGTCAGAATATACTACGGTGGTACGGAAGGTGCATTTATACTATTTACACTATACTTTTGATCTAAGAGCGCGATTTACTGTTGAAAAGCTGTAAGAAAAACTGTAATTAGTTAAAAGAGACATTTAAAAAAGTGACTTGGTGTCCCTGAAAAATACCATGTTATCGGCATTTGTAATAGATACCATATGAATAGTTCAAGGTATAAGCAAACAGCTTAATTTGATTTAGAAAGAAACTAAAGATAATTTAAAAATTGACGTTGACTCGTATTCAGATTCATAACGTAGCTAAGAAAGAGAATATTAGTGAAAGAAACGATTCATATCCTGAAACATGAATGTTTGAACGATATAAGATAAAGTGTTATTAGTAAACAGAAACATTTTAAAAAGTTACCAGTTTTATCTGAAAAAAATGTTATGTTGTCAAAATAAGTACATACATGATATAATAAAATATTAATAGTTCAAAACTGAGCAGACATTTAAAAAAAATTAACAAGTAAATAGGAAACAAAATGCTGTCCGGATCCAGACAGCCAAAATTGCCTAAAACACACATTTTTCCTCAAAAAAATTCAATGCCATGTATTTTCTTAACTTTAGAAGAACAGGCGCAAGTGTGGTTATAAACTCGATCTGGACCTCTTACAGCCTAGGAAGGTGCTTTACTTTTAACGTTTACCAAAAAGAATTGGTTTACCTTTTTAAATTTGGAAAAACAGTGCGGAATCTGAATGGTCTAGCAGGATCACACGCAACGTTTTAACTTGCGAACCTCCAATAATACCATTCATGGCAATAAACAATAGAAATGCAATTATTCGGACGAATCCCAGCCCCTGAAAATCCCTAACACGAATCTTATAGCAAAAAATAATTTATTTCAATTTTGAAATATGGAAAGACAACGTAAAATCTAAATGGTTTGGCCAGGATCACACGCAACATTTTAACGTGCTATCCTTCAATAATGCAATAAATAACAATAAACAATAAAAAGTGCAATTATTCGGACGGATCCTAGCCCTTGAAAATCCCTAACACGAATCGTTTAGCAGAAAAAAATTTGTTTAAATTTTAAAATTTGAAAACAACAGCGCGAAATCTAAATGGTTTGGCCAGGATCACACGCAACGTTTTAACGTGCTATCCTCCAATAATGCAATAAACCATATATAGTAATAAACATTAAAAATGCAATTATTCGGACGGATCCCAGCCCCTGACAATCCCTAACACGAATCGTTTAGCAAAAATAATTTGTTTCAATTTTGAAATGTGGAAAAACAACGCAAAATTTGAATGGTTTGGCCAGGATCACACGCAACGTTTTAACTTCCTAGCCTATCCGCGAATGGCACAGTAATGTTAAACTTACCGAAAGCTGCATTGTACCACCTGAAAAGAAAGARAAAACCTGTAGTATTACATAAATTTGATCTAAAACCCAGTTATCTGATTGGAAAGAAACCGAACTGGAGAACTGAGTAAAATTTTAATTATTTCTCGACAAACTAAACTCAATTAAGTTAAGGATTTATAGATTAATAATCCTTCTTACCTGCTTTCTGGATACTGGCGCCAGATTCTCCATTGTCTATCCATTAATCATCAAAAAGCACACACTACACTTGAACACACAATGAATATCCATACGAAATTGAAAATAAATGTGAATTTCACTCAGCAATTAACAGGTAAGATGATCGACCGTACTTCCGTGCCTAAATTTCACTAAATTCGTACATTTATCCAGTTTATGAACAAAAGACTGGCGACCGATTTCGGCCCTTGCCCACCATGAACTGAACACAGTTCAGTTTTTAGCAAAAACTCATGCGATGTTAAGGTGTTTATCACTTTAAAAACGCACCGAGCTACCGAACTTACATGACATAATCGTTTGCTTCCTGGCCCTTCGTCTGACTCATTGCTTAGCCATGCTGTTTGATTTCAGTTTTTTCCTTATTGACAATGTTCTATGAATTTCCAGTTCACGATCCGACTGATTTGGATATTTAGCGTAAACAAAGTTGCTTTCTCGGCCTAAGATAAACAAATATTGACGTTCATGCGGCAATTTTTGTATGCTAAATTAAATACTTGCTCGTCAATGAATCTTTTGCTCAATTTTCATGAAACTTCGCTTGAACGCTTTTCATGAAATCTAGCTTCACAAACCATGATTTGTGAATGCTTCACTTTGATTGCACTATTAAGCGCGACGGAACTTGATTTTTATGAAACTTTGAGTTCGTATAGCTTGATATGTTGTGCAAAACGGGCCTAAAGGCCAGATTTTCATTTTAGTTAGATCATGACTTATGAATGTTTTCCTCTACTCACATCATTGAAAGCGACGGAATAATTTACTTGATTTCCACATGAGCTCTCGCATCTATATTTTGCCAGATTTATCAAAACGCTTTCAAATTCTGCATTTTAGTATTGGATTTGTTAAAGTGATTAATGAGCATATTTTATGTTCAAAAAAGGCGCAGTTTAACGCAGTTCATCACTAGATGACAACTGGAGCGTTATTGCTTAACTGGTTCTCTAGCAATGAGCTAAAAACTAACAGCGTTTTTTGAAAACCCGCAGTAATTTCGGATTATTACTCTTTCCGTGAAAGCGAAAAACATTTGTAGAATAATGATTTATATGAGCCGTTTTCTTTGAAATTGGTGTAAGTGTATTTTATTTAATATGGAGATATTTGAGGTTGAATAATTAAAAAAATACCGTGTGTCAATTTGAAAACGTTCCACTCTTAATGTCTTTCTTGTAATTGAAAATATGAAAAAATCGGAAAAACCCGTCAAGTTTATTTGTAAAGGGGACACTTTAAATAAATGTTTTTAGCCTCCTTGTTTGAATGAAACAAATCAGTTTCTTTTTATAAAATGTTTATTTAATATTTCAACAATAAAAGGAATTAGCGATAAAAAATGTATCAGTTAACCGTCAAAAAACTTAAAAAATTGGTGAAAAAATCAGATAATTTTGGTGCAATTCTGTCAATAAAAATTTATAATTTTGTGTGACGCAGATTAAATTTGATAACAAGAAATGGCTTTTTGATAACAAGAAATGCTGCATGAAATTTAAATTAATTTAGTCTTTATTTTTTAGTGGCTCTGCAGCAAACGCACTTAATTTAGTACAACCAGCGCATTTTAGTTCTTTACGCAAATGGTACAGCAAATATTGGTGCACTGAGCGCTTCACTTCCATATAATATCCACTTAATAACCTAATAGCATAGTGGCTAAAAAAAAACGATTTATCCAATTGTACCCATTGGTAGACTTTAGAATCCATTGCAACACCTTGCATATTATTAAAAAATTCTGTGTTTTTACTACTCATTTTGCTGCTTTTCATCTAACCATCCTATCCATCAATCTATAATAGGAGTTTTGCATTCAAATACCCCACAGGTAAAAAAACCTATATGCATCTACAATTTAGTTTTGTTTAAATTGTAGATTCTAAAAATGTCGACAAAGCTGATGCACACGATGATTCAGTTAATAAAGAGTTAAATACTGACTTGAAAAGACATTCAGAAGAGGCCAAAGTAACTAATACTTCTGATGAAGACAATGTAGGAACGAGTTTGGAACCTTCAAGTGAATATAAGACGGCAGGTGACGAACCGTTTCCCACAAATGATGAAAGTATCATCATAGTAACTCCGGTAAAAAGTGTAAAATCTTTATCGCCAGTAAATAAATGTCAAGATTTTATCACAGTAAGAAGAAAACGAGGTAAGCTAATAACGGGTAACTTAACTGAAAACAGTGCGATTAAATATTCGACTCTTTCAGAGGAGAAAAAAACGCTTGATTGCCCAGCAACACCGACGGATCAAAATATTGAGAGTCAGATGAAGGTAATGCTTGACTCTATATATGGAAAGTCATGGAGAGCTCATCAGCAAAAAGTGTTTTTACCAATGTCTGAGCGGAAAGTAAAACGTTCAGATAATATACCGATTGTTGCTCCAATCACGGAAAGGTAAACTGATTAACAGCACTTAAGAGATATTTTGTGGAGGCAGGTGTCTTAAATGTTTGGGCAATTAAAATAGTCCTTTTTTGTGGTTGTTTTTCAAATAAAATTGAACTGGATTATCGAAAAACGTAAGAAGTAGCTTATTGAAGTTCAACCCACTGAAACTCAAATAGTGAACATTTCAAGAAAATGGCATGGCATGTTTCGTACATTAGTTCGTTCTAGTTCCCAATTAAACTTTACAGTTTTACGGTAAGCATGAAATAGCTTTAATATTTTATTTTTTGAAGGATTATAAAGCCGCCCTTCAAAAACACTCTGTTACCGAATAAAAAGTTGACTCATACCAAACTTAATTTTGATTCGCTGAAGAAACCGGTAAAATCGCCTTGGATAAGCAAACTGAAAGGATTAGTAGATTCCGACTCGGCTGATGAAGGCAACAATACAAAAGGTAGTTTTGTTTTATCAACTAGCTAATTTGGTCCGGTATTGAGTAAGTCGAGTTCTTTCGAAGAAAAGTACTCCGACATATTGTTTTTTTGCGTTAGTATTATAATGCTAATGCTGTCATCATGAAATTACTTTTATTTAATACCGATTGTAGTTTTTATCGTGGTTGTTTAAAAAAAACTATTTTGTGCTAACAAGCGTGCTCAGAACAGAATGATCTGAAGAATCATATAGAAAGCTTTTATACTATTGATTTTAATAAAAAAACATTTTTTGACGAAAAACTTCCAGGGTCTTATCAATAAATGCAACAAATACAGCGTGATTCAGGTTTAATGTTGGTAACTTCAATAATCGATACAAGACAGATTGCAATAATGTCCTCACATGATCTAAAATGTTACTTTAAATCGCATCGTTACAGGGATAAATAAAACGATTAATCGTTAAAATAAAAACTTTTTCCGTCTTCTTTCATACGTTTTGAACAACGTAACTGTGTAACTTTTGTGTCTAGTGCAGACTATTTATTATTCATTAGAAGTGTCGTGTGTTCCAAACCTTAATCGGATGAGTGGTTCAAAATGTATGAGAAAATCGAGAAAATGTTTATTTCAACACGTTCTAGCTCTAAAACAATGTGATTCAGGCAACAATTTACATCATGTAAGGGTACTATTCTAACTAACCTATTCTTTCGATTCTTGATGTTATCAAGATGAAACCTGAATCACCCGAAGCAAATAAATATTTATTACAGAAACTTGTTTGATTGAAATAAATATTTTCCCAACATACAAAAAATAATTGAACATTTTCCATAAAACACCTACAACTGATGCGGAACTCAAAAAATATTTATTTCGATTTAAGCAGACAGTTGCAACTAATTTTTCAAATACCCTGATCAAATGAAATTACACATGGTAAAACAATTACAGACAAAAATAACGAACTTATATATCTGAAATGCTCCTGGGTTATTCGAAAAAATGGCCTCACTCTGTTCCCTTTTAGACCGGTGACGATGGCTTAAATATAGCCGAAACGTTGGTCCAGGCAAAAGTGTTTTATTTACGATACCGTTATTGACCGATAAACCCAACCATCTTTTAGTATATTGCAAAGTAGCAAAATTTTATATATTTATCAATAACTAAGCAAAAACTAATTAAAATAGTTTGTTTGTTCAACCTGGCAAAATGTCGTTTTTTGGCTGATATTGATAGCAACGTTGAAGATTAGATTTATTATTTTTGTTGAAAATTTCTTTGATCATCATTTGAAATCTTATACTGCTCATTAGACGCATAAATAAAATATTCGCAGTAGTGAGAAATTCCAATCAACACAGGTTTTCTAGAATTATCTGAGTGGAAAGTAAAATGTTTTGGCACTTTTCCAAGCATAGATATTTGGGCTTACAGCACCATATACAGCAAGTTTGCCCATTTTTTTCCATTGTGGCCGACTTATTTTGCAAAATATAGTCTGTGGCTGACTATAAATATGGGCAAACAATTTTGGAGTTTCTGTAAATATTTCACAGTTATTTTATTAAATAATTAAAAATAATTTCAATAAAAAAACTATAAAATTTAATTTGTTTTTTGTAGTTTCTCGAGCTACTTTGAAAACATTTGCGGTCGACCGTGAACGTTGGCTACCGCGAATGACTGTGGTTTATGTTTCGTTAGATGTTTTACTGTCTTTTCCGACAGAAAAATTGATACATGTACGCTTTATCATTAAAATCACTTAACCAATGTATTTTTGTTTCAGACATTAAAAAAGTTAAAAGTCGGCTTAATTTTGGTGATAAAACTCCAACAAAGAAAAGTGTAAAAAGTAACCACTATGAAGAAAATACTGCTAATGTCAAACATTTGCTTAAAGAGTGCAACATAAAAGCAAATATTCCTGCAAAGGCAAATCTGCAAAAGCAATATTATTATCAGAATATTGAAAAGGGTGCAAATACTATTGGTAAACGTAGAACAGAAAGTTCTAGTTCAATAACAACAGATGAAGAATATGACAAAGAAATTGAAATTTTGGAGCTAACAAGAAACAAGACAGTACGCGAGAAAAACAAAAAGTATTCCTTTTTGGAATCGTTATCAGGTGAGTGATTATCTCAGGAAGATCTCATAATAGAAATGAATTAATGGTATAAGAAATAAATAAATCTGTTTTTGATTTAGCAACTGTGCCATTAAACCAGTGTGACATGTCTGCACGATTATTCCGAACTAACTTTAAGCAACACAAACAGGAATTGGCGAAAAGGCTATTTTCATTATTTAATGAGAACGTTTTTGACGATGCCATTCCAGGAAACTGTGCAATAGAATGGAATACCAAATTAACAAAAACAGCTGGATTGTGTCATTTTAAAAAAATTACTCACCGTCAGGGTCAAATTGAAAGACAGGTATTACTAAGTGGGTCTACTTTTAATATTTGTTTTAGTGTGTGGTACTATGGAATAATTAAAATATCTCGCAATCTAGCCATCCGATTTGTCTGAAATTTTTTGCAATTTTGTACCAAATAACGCCCGATTTAACTGTGGATATGGCATTTTTGCCAAGTATCTCGTTTTTTTGAAGAGATTTTCTTTTTTCTAATCAAACCCTATAGATGGTTTGTGATTTTTAAATTCCGCTTGCAATTCAGAACACTTCGTCTTGGAAGCATTATTTTCTATCATTTGAAGTTATTGAAGAAATGGAGGTCCAAAATCTTTATTTTAATTAATTTTACTTCAAAGCAACTGTAGGCGAAAGCTTACCGAACATTCCTCCATTTGTAATAACTTTCAATTTTAGAAAAAAGTTTCGAAAAAAATTCTTGAGGAATTCTAAACTCGAATCTAATTGATATTGTTTCCTTAGAAACAAATACCAATTGCGTAAACCTTAAGCAAATATCAAATTAAATCTACATATTTGTTTTAGGTTAAAATTAGTTTATCCACTAAAGTTCTAGATTCTCCATGTAGATTAAGAGATACATTAATACATGAAATGTGCCATGCTGCATCATTTATTGTCAATCGCATAACGGATGGACATGGACCATATTGGAAAAGTTGGTAATTGATTTATTGGTATTTAATGATACAATTTGATATTGAATAAACGTGCTGATTGCAGGGCTTTTAAAGCTATGGAAAAGTTTCCAGAGTTGCCGCCTATAAGACGATGCCATGATTACCGTATTAATAGCAAGTACACTTACAAATGTACTGGCTGTCATTATAGGTAACAAATTAGATGTTCGACATTAAACGTTATCAATTTTTAACTAAATTTTTATTTAGTTTTGGAAGACACACAAAATCACTTGACTTGGACCGGAAACGTTGCGGTTATTGTATGGGAAGATTTGAAGTTTTTTTGAACAAAAAAGGCAAAAGTGGTTCCACTAAAGCTGTCCCGATTGCTGAGCGAAAGGAAGTCACAGGGTTTGCGTTATTTGTCAAAGAAAACTATGCCAAGTATAAAGAACCATCGAAAACGCATCGCGACATAATGACAATGCTCAGCCAAAAGTTCGCAGAACTAAAAGTTATAAGTACAAAGTGAATATGTTTTTAAATTTTGTAATTTTATGAAAAAAAACTGATTAGATAATATTTTTTTACCAATAACCTGAGAAGTCACCATTATTTACCCGATTATCTTAGCGAGAAGTTATATTTCTCTCCTTCGGTCCATATAATAATAATAACAAAATCCATAGGTAAATCATGAATATGTGAAAGTTTTTCGTTATATTTATTTTGCCCACCTATCTTCGAGTTCAGGCGAGATTCCAACCATTTCCACTACTCAATCACTGTAACTTTAAGATTCACCATTTTTTCGCTTTTCCCAGAAGTTTTTCATGGAACTTTTATCGGTTTTCCGGAAACCGTTAAATTATATTGCGGCAATTGGACAACTGAACGTCAGGATACATTCAAATATTGCGACACTTCAGAAAATTAGTGCTAAATTCAAAATCTTATTAATTCAATTAAGGCAATTATTCGTGTTGGTACCAAAAAAACTATATATTTCGGTCGAGAAGGCTATTAAATACCTCGCATAATTATGTATATTATAAAAGTTCTCGGTTTATAATGTACTATTATATTATACAGGGTGTCCCGGAATATGTGGGCATGCTTTCGGATTTGTACAGGGAACGTTAAAAAAACAAGTTTCTATAAAAAAAAATCCAGAGGGCCCCTACGGAGATACAGGACTCTAAAGGAACCACCTGAGAATTTTTTTTTAAATAACTTTTAGAAGACTATGCAATTTAATTATTTTCTCACACAATGAACAGTACATCATTGCTCCTAAAAAGAACCGATGAAAACATTTTTAGCATTTCCATTGCCAGGGATGGACTAGGTGGAGCACAATAATAGTATTTTTTTTACTCTTTACAATGAAGACACGAAAATAATGTATTTAGGTAGCTTTAACCTTAAACTAAAAAATACATTCTTGATTCAGAACGGTTTTCGAGGAAAAAATATGTTTATTGAGTACAGAAGTATAGAAAATAGAAGAATTAATCAAGCAAACTAAGCGTTTAACGTGTCCCATTTGCTAATTTACTGAAGATATCGAAGGGATTTAACCAAGGCTTAGCCGCCTTAAAAAAATTTCCATTGGATATTACGAATACTAACATCTTTTCTTGGCTATCTATCATCAGACCAGGTTTTTATTGGCTCGTTTGAACCTCCACTCCTCTAGGAAATGAACATTAAGAGACTGAAAACGTTGAAAACATGTCAGCTCGTTTAAATTCCATGTTTCCACATGTTCCCGGTGAATCTTCAATTAACAGATCCAAACGATTAGGATAATTATCATACACTGAAGCTGGTTAATTTTTTTTGTCTAACCAGGAAGTTTCTTTCAGTACCTACTCCACGTAGCAAGGTTCCCATAATTTATCCTAGTTTTCCAACACTACCAGTGACCTTACATGTTCATTTAAAATGCCGTATCAATGTTTAAAGGCGCTTACTCCTTGTAACTAATGAGTTTTTACCAGTTCACGGGAACTTGGCCTACATTCTTTGCCTCAATAATTAATTCCTGTTTCACGTATCAAGTTTAAAAGCTCCACCCTTAAACAATGTTTCGCCTTCGTACGCGACTATTGAGTGCATAACGTCTTACATTATTCCAAGTGTGGGCAGGCTTTCCATTACTAGTTTTTTAGCATAATGGAATCATTATTTGGATAAAAAGTTTAGAAATATTGCGCTGTAAGTATGCTATTTTAATTACTGGAATTTTGTTGGATTTTATATAATTATATTAAACCTTAACTACATTTCCAACACATCATTAATCAGCAGGCAAATGTATACAATGAGCGCAAAAAATGTTTTAGCGTCACCTATTGAAGCTAAGAAGAGAAAATGTACAATAATCCCGGAACACCTTTACCACATGGAATGATGGACAACAGCTATCAAATTCCTAATCAGAATATATATTTTGATGATGGCATGCAGTTTTACAGAACTAAAAATCAAAATACAATTACAAAGGTAAATTCTTGCTATTCCTCTCTATCAAAATCAGAATCAGTTATCTGGCCCAATATACCACCAAAAATAAAGCAAAAAGTTTAATTTAGAAATTTCTAAAACTCTATGCAGAAATATGACTATAAAAAAAGCTACCTATATGCAAATAACACTCTCGCTCTTTACTTTTGAATGGGCTGTAAAATCTTTAATATATGTTTAGGTGGCTCCTGTCCCTCCTCCAAAGTATTCCAATGCTGAAAATATGGAAATGATGGAATCCATTGACGATAAGAGTGTGAAAAAAAGTGTAATATTTGATAACGTGAAACCTATTTTTGTTACCATGAGGTTACTAGGCATACTTCCAGTTGTTCGCCGTGGTTCAATTTTCATTATTTCTACAAAATGGATTATTTACTCCTTCCTACTATTATTAGCGGTTGCTGGTACAAACCTTTACTTGTATCGATTTTCTTTAAGCTAATATTGTCTTTTTGTGCAGGTTTTATTGGATATTTGAAATATTATAATATAAATGTAACAAGAACTGCTGAAGGACGGTTTGAAGAAGCAGTAATAGATTACCTCTTCACTGTGTATCTGGTACCAATATTTGTTAACATACTAGCCTTATACGAAGCGAAAAAGCAAGCAAATGTGCTGACTCAAATGGTCTCTTTCGAACGTATATATACTAGGATGTTTAAAAAGCGAATTGGATTCGATTTGGGCAGTAAGCCATTGGTGATGACGGTCGTTTTACTGATATTGGGATGTGGTGTAATGGTCATTACCCACTTTTCAATGGCAAACTTTATCATCTATCAGGTAACGAAGGACTATTCTCTTAAGTGCGCTAAACATATATGTACATTATTATTTTAGGTGGTGCCATATTGCTATATAAACGTGATAACTTTCATTATAGGTGGAGCCTGGTATATTTATTGTGATATAATAGGGAACATTGCTACATGCCTGGCTGAAGAATTCCAGTTTGCTTTACGCAACATTGAATACTCCAATCGAGTATGTGATTACAGATCACTGTGGATGATCCTGAGTAAAATAATCAGGAACGTGGGAAATTCATTTGGGTACACCCTAACTTTCCTCTGTCTGTATTTGTTTTTCGTCATAACTTTAACAGTTTATGGATTACTGTCTCAGATTCAAGAGGGAATGGGCGTTAAGGATATTGGTCTCACAATAACTGGAGTTTCAGCAACTCTAATGTTATATTTTATTTGTGATGAAGCTCATTATGCATCCACTTGTGTAAGTCAGCACGTAACACGTACAAGTAGTGTGTTGTATGTAACTGATGTCGTTCCTCTAGACGTGTTTAGGGAGTTTAAAATAGTTGAACACATTTTCGACAACATTGTCCATTTGCCACCCGCATAGAAATATCTTTAGAACCCGTTCTTTTCCAAATAAATAAATTCTGGTACAATTTTGCAAAAGTACTTGTTTGCATCTTTTAAGCACAGGCACATTAGGTCGGACCTTAATTTTTTTTCGTCGGGGATTTTCCATCGGCTGAAAATCTCTTTTATAGGCTCTAAAAGTTCGGCGCAAAAAGAAATTGGACTTTTCCATGCACGTGCCTCAAAGAACCAAGTTTTTCATTGATTTTATATGAAGAAAAAACGTATTAATTTGTTTAGTAGCTAAATTTCGGATTTTTGTTATTGAAGCTTTACTGAAGCTCATTATTGACTGGAAGGGAACCATCAGTTTTTTTCAATATCGTGAAAAAAAATTATTATCCTCGGAAAACTCGAAAAAATGAGTGAAAAGTCTTGAGACTGAACCCAGCTGATGAGAGCTAACAGGCTCGAAACCGGTCCTGGATGTGCCTGGAGTGGGCGAACCTCGAAATTTGCATTTGCTTATATGATTTCTTTGTTTTTTTCTCTGTTTTAACTTGGATTTTATGAATTAAGTTAATCATTAAGTTTAAGAATACAATTACGACGTTGGGTAAACCCGCACTGACTCGGATAATACCGACGAAATTCTTGTA